CGAAAGCGGAGGTTGGAAAATGAAATGGTAATCTTTATAACATCAACAAAATACAATACTCGCCAGCGACGTGAAATAGGTAAACCACTGCTAGTAGTGAACTACTTAGGCATCATATTACCCCCACTTACAATGGTGTCCAATGTGTTTATGAGGATTGAGGCATACCCATTAGTGTTCATAGGAACGGTATATAACGGATAGATAGATAGATAGATAGATAGATAGATAGATAGATAGATAGATGGAGTTATAAACAGACTAGTATAGATAGATAGTGTTTTAACCTAGATTGGGGTTACTGAATGAGGAATAACCAAAACGGAGGTTGGAAATGAAATGGTAATCTTTATAACATCAACAAAATAAAATACTCGCCAGCTGCGTGAAGTAGGTAAACCACAGCTAGGGGTGGACTATTTAGACAGCATATTACCCCCACTTACACTAGTGTCCAACGTATTGATGAATATAGGGACGTAACCGTTAGTGTTCATAGGTACGGTATATAACATAAAAGTAACATTCAAGAAAAGGACAATTGCAGAAACACTCTCAATGGATCTAAAGTTTGTCGCAAAATTAGAGAACTAAAAGAAGAAGTCAATAAGTGCCTAGGAATTAACGAAGTCGGTGGAATACAGCATATCCAAATGAATGAGAAAGTAAGAAAGGATTGAGCGACGATACCTGAGGTAAGCGAGCCACGTGTGTATTTTTGCTCATAATTTTAACAGTTAACAATTCAAAATAAAATACTTATATAATTATGTGACTCTGATCTTTATGTGTGCAGATGTTATGAGGCAGTAGTTGTAAATCTTGTTAGGTGTGATGATTATATAATGATTTGGCTCATTATTGAATGCTGCACGATCTTCCCACGGATGATGAGAAAAGTAGAGGCAGCAGAAATCTGGTTCTACAGAAGGATACTGAGAATACCATAGACGGAGCGAGTAAGCGATGAGGAAGTCTTAAATGGCAACACTTATACTTAGAATCAGGGAGAAACAGCTGAAATTCCTTGGACACATAATGAGAGATGAGGGCTTGGAAAACTTAACCCTCACAGGGTATATTGTGGGCGAGAGGTATAGAGGAGGAAAGCAAACCACTGTGCATGTGTGAATGGATGACGGAATAAGGGCAGGGACCTTAATAAAAGGAGAAAAACTGCTAAGAGCCACAAGTGATAGAAAGTTGTGGAGGGCCATGAATGCCCATATCATGAAAGGACGTGGTACTCAAAAGAAGAAGAAAAAGTAGAAGAAAAAGAAGAAGTAGTGTATACACGGGTTTCTCGACTTAAGACAGAGTTCCGTTGCTACGATGCATCTTAACGTGATTTTTCGTGTAAGTCGGAACGTACCCGTAATTTCACTTCTATGGTGATGGCTTTCTTTTACTTCGATCTCACTACTTTTAGGAAACATAATGAAGGACAATAATTTTCCACAAACACAACACAAACGAAAGAGAGCGAATGCAAAACAATCTAATATGGCGTACAACCCAGGAAACAAGATTAACGGAGATTTCGTCGTAACCCCGAATCGTCGTAAGTTGAGTACTTATTGTATTATATTTTTCCCCCATGAAATTGAAGTGACCTACTAAGGAGAGAGAGAGAGATAGAAAGAGAGAGAGGGAGAGAGAGAGAGAGAGCGTCAGAGCGTCAGAAGATCTTTGGTATTTTGCAAGGGGTTGAAGGAAATGTAACCTGTTGATGATCCGATTTACGATTTATCCTTTAACACTTGAGCCCAATCTTACTGAGTCAGTGAGTTAAAAAAGCAAAAACAAAAAAACAACATTTCGGCTGTTGTACGCGCCGACCTTCTTCAGGTGATTGGAATTTTGAATCGAACCCTTTATTTCGTCCACCGGGGTAAATTTTTCTAGTTCCACGTGTCATGCCTCTTACGTGTGTCTCAGGTATTTCCCTTTAACTCACCTCTCCGAGTTTTTTGGTTCATCACTGCTGTAGCCTGGTATTGAACTCACAACTCTTTGAGCCTAGTTACTGAAGCTAACCAACGTCTTTATGCACTGGGCAAATAATTTAAATAACCATAATACCTCATCTCAGAGATATAGACAGACAATAAAACAAATATAAGCGACATTTGATTGATCCGAATCAAATAATTATATTAAAGGAAGCAAATCAATTTCTTATTTTTAACTTTAAAACTTTTATTAATTAAAAAAATCGTTTCAGCGATGCCTTAAGAATGTTAGCGGTTACATTAGACAGAAACAGCAAGAAAGATGGCGGAAGAAACAGCGTTAGATAGCGAAGGAGGGAGGAGGGAGAGATTGACAAAGAAAATCAGAGAGGGTGGGAGAGAGAGAGAGAGAGAGAGGAAACAGCAGAAGGAGGAGAGAGATGAAGAGAAGATAGTAGAGAAAGTGGCTGAGGTAAAGAGCAGGAGAAAGCGAGCGAGGAGAGAGAGAGAGAGAGAGAGAGCAATAAAGGGAGTTTAAGAGCAGACGAAAGAGAGGAAAGAGATTATGATAGACAAGAGAGAGAGAGAGAGAGAGAAACGAGAGAGAGGTGGGAGGAAGAAAGGAAGAGAAGGAAAAAAGCAGGAGAATTTCGACCGGGGAGGGTGAAATTGACGAAGAAAAACAGAGTGGGAGGGAGGGAGGGCGGAAGAGAGAACGATCAACTGAGGGAGGGGGACAGCAGAAGAAAAAGAAGATGAGCAGATAATAGAGAGTGTGGTCGAGGTACAGAGCAGGAGAAAGTGAGCGAGGGGGAAGTAGAGAGCGATAAAGAGTGTGAGAGGGCAAGAGAAAGTGAAGGAGAGAGTGACAGAAAGGAAAAAGAGAGAAAAGGAGTGAGGAAGAGAAGAGAATGAGCAAGAGAAAGAGAAGGAGAGAGGAGGGAGAAAGGTACAGAAAACATATATATAGAGAGAAGGGTTGAGAAAGGAGGGGAAGGGAAAGAAAGGGAGAAAGAGAGGAAGGGGGTGGGAGAGATGGTAACAAGAGAGAGCCATCAAGGGAAGGAGGCAAAGAACAGGAACAAGAGAGAAACAGAGAGAGAGAGAGAGAGAGAGAGAGAGAGAGAGGAGGGGGAGAGGAAGAGAGTAATCAAGCGGGTGGGGGAAGAGCAGAAGAAAATGAGAGAGGAAGAGAGAGTGGCCACAGAGATTGAAAGAGGAGGAGAAAGTGAGATAGGGAAGAAAGAGAAAGAGGGAGAGTTAGGAAAAATAGAGCGAACGAGGGAGAGAGCGAAAGAGAAGGAGAAAGAGAGAGAGAGAGAGGGTGGGGAGGAGAGAGACATCGATTAAGAGAATTAGGGAAAGAGAAGGAGAAAGAGAGAAGCGGGGAAGGTTATAGTGGCGGAAAGAGAGGATAAGTGTTGGCTTGGTAAATTAAACTTTTTGTTAAATTCTATAAATGGGAAACATGTCCTAGTTTTTCAATTTTTTTCAAAGATCAATTTTTTTTCCTAATTTGGTCGCTCGGCTATAAGGGCTTTGGGCGGAAATAATTGATTTAATTTTCAAAATACTTGGCTGGCCATTGGACTAAGATCCAGCATCTTTACATTCAGACAAACACAACTAGTGTTTTTTTTTTCGTTTTTGTTTCGTCTCATTGTCTTGGAAGACATTTTATTTTTCCTCTTTGCTTTCACTGCGTACTTTGGCACGATGTGATGTTTTCAAAAACGACTCATCGTGAGAAAATCACTCGAGAGGTTAGTCCAGCTGACCTTTTCTACGTGAGTTCGATTCTCATTGGGTGTTCCATTCGAAAATTTCAACATTCAAAAGCCTAACAGAGAGACACACGTTCAATACTGTAAATCAGTCAATTAAAAAAAAAAGATCCACTAAGAATGCATTTAAATTACTCATACAGTGTAACCCGGATATAAGAGAGTTAGCGGGACCGGGGAAGTCTCTTATATCCGGTTTCTCTTATATCCGGGTTTGGTCTATTTTATATACATTAACACAGGCTCTAATTTGGGACCAGAGAAAATCTCTCTTATATCCGGGTTTCTCTTATATCCGGGTCTCTTATATCCGGGTTAGACTGTATATATATATATATATATATATATGTATGTATGTATGTACAGTGTAACCCGGATATAAGAGAGTTGTCGGGACCGGAGAAGAAGTCTCTTATATCCGGGTTTCTCTTATATCCGGGTTTGGTCTATTTTGTTTAGGTAAGTATGGCTCTAATTTGGGATCAGATAAAATCTCTCTTATATCCGGGTTTCTCTTATATCCGGGTCTCTTATATCCGGGTTACACTATATAACTTCGTCCTATTCGACCTTCTCTTTCGGAATATACGGGTGGTGTAATTGATAGCAATTAGAAATCAGAGACCCATGTTCGAATTCCAGTCGGCTTTGCAGCATTCACTTACGCGCAAATGCCATTGGGAAAAGGTATGAATTCATGCTTTCTTCCTTCAGCTATGGGTTAAACAGTAGGACTTGTAACTGGAAAAATAATTGTTATTAAAAAATATGGTTCGGCTTTAAACAACTCACAAAGGGTTGATAAGTTGTAAAAACAAAATAATATAAAATCTAATTTTAAGTGCCATATTTTACATTCACTTAAAAATTAAGTTTATTCTCTTCTCTTGCCTTCAATATATCCTGTGGCTGTTAAATGTTTCTTTTTGTGTGCCATGTTGATTTTTAATGCTCTCCACAACGTCCTGTTTTGGTTACTCTAATTACTTTTTACTAACCTCTCTTTTTTCCTCTTCTCCCATACATTCACTCAAAGTCGTCAAGTAGGTTACTCGCTGTTTCACCCTGTTTCTCTTGCGTTCAGTATGTCCTATGAGTGTTAAATTCTTACTCATTTATGCGCCAAGTCTCTTCAGGTTATGAAAGATCATTGCTCTCCACAGAGACCCGTGTTTTGTAGCTCTTAGTAATTTTAACATTTTATCCTCGTTCTTTGTCCCCATTCTGTCGTACAGACACGCAAAATGTTTTCTTTTGTTCAGGCTTACGGCCATATTATATTGAAACATCGGTTCCGGACGATCACGGAAGTTAAGCAATGTCGAGCATAGTCACTACATCGATGGGTGACCGCTTCGGAATACCTGGTGCTTTAAGCTTGGATGAGAGGGTGGTATGGCTTACGGCTATATCATGTCGAAACATTGGTTCCCGTAAGATAACCGAAGTTAAGCAACGTCGAACCTGGTTACTATCTAGATGGGTGACCGCTCCGGAATACCAGGTGCTGTAAGCTTGGATGCTAAAGTAGTATCACGTTGGCACACCGGTACGATGAACGAAGTGAAGCTGTCACCGAAAGCCATTGAAGATCCTGAATTCTGGACTAGATTTGTGATAAATATCTGACCGAAGACGATGAGATGAGATTTTTTTTTTTTACAGTGAGGTTCAATCTGTATAATGCGCGGGGCCACTCAAGGTAGAGGGTTGCAGAGTAAGTGGCACAGTTTATGCGAATATGTGAAGAAGATATAAGTTAACCCTAAACTTGAACTGGTTAAGATTGTACTGAATGGGACACGGCCCAACACAGCAGTTGTTTGCGGAAAGATGCTCGAATGAAACTTTGTTATTACGAATGCAATATGGAAAGAATGGGAGTGGTTTGCTAGAATATGAATGGCATGGAGGGTCCTAGCTCTGAAGATTAAAAATGGCGGAACCAAGGAATGCAGTTCGTCTGAGCACTTACCATGGAAGTAGCGATAGAACAGTGAGAGACTCGCCATATCCCGCTTGTGTGTGTGTGTGTGTGTGTGTGTGTGTGTGTGAGAGAGAGAGAGAGAGAGAGAGAGAGAGAGAGAGAGAGAGGTTGGAAGGTAGAAAACAATTCTTCTCCAACATGGACTCAGAGATGCTTTTGAACTCTATCGTGACTGGAAAGTGAGGACTGAGCAGCTCCCGTCTTAATATGACAACAGAAGACGAAAAGTGCGACACTGAGATCCGAAGACGTACTGGAATGGCCAAAGATGCATTCCAAAAGCTAAGCAGTGTATTAAGAGACAAGAAAATTTCTTGGAAACAAAGAAAAAAATACTGGACTGTTACGTGATATCTGTCCTCCTGTATAGCAGCGAATGCTAGACAATCTCCTCAGAGATGAAGACGAGACTAGAAGAAACAGAAATGTGGTTCTACAGAAGGATAGTGAGGATACTATGAGCCGAACATGTGAGCAACGAGGTTTTGGAGAGAATGGAAACAAAAAAGCAACTTATACTTAAGATCAGAAAGAGGCAGTTGAAATTTCTGGGACACGTAACGAGGAAGGAGGGCTTGGAAAATCTGATACTCAGAGGACTGATAGAGAGAAAGAAGGACAGGGAAAAGAAACGCGTAACATGCTTAACGGGCTTAAGCAAACGCATAGCAGAACAGGATCTGGGAGAAGTAACAAAAAGCTTGTTAGGAGGTACAAGATGCAGGAAGATGTGGAGAGCCATGATCGCCTACGTCCTGGAGGGACACAGCGCATAAGTTAGAGGATAGCACGAGGAGTCAGGTACTTACTGGAGCGGTACAGGGAACCGTCCATTTTTTATCTGCATCTTCACTTGATCTGGGGTGAGTTTAATGCCTTATAGTCTATCAAGGCACGGCGAATCCCTGAGGGGGCATCCATTCATCATGACTGGTGGTAGTTCAGGGTCCGATCGACGATGATGGAATGTAGTTTGGTTTTCGAGACATTGAATGCAACCAGGCAGTTTTACCCCTAACATTGAGATGTTAGAGCAGGATCAGATAAGAGATCAGTTGCCAATTTCTGGTGATCACGAGATGACACGCCCATATATTGTTGTATCATCGGCATATCAATTCGCAAATGCTCGGGATATAATCTTACGCAGATCATTTATGTAAAGCAAAAAAGAGGGTTGGTCCGAGAAATGACACCTGGAGGTCGTCTGCGTTGATTGCTAGGGTCCCAGATGACGGACCGTTAACAACTACCTTCAGGGACCTACCCGTTAGGAAAGACTTTATTACTGAGAAGTATCCTTCGCTGATTTCATAGCTAGAGAGCTTGTACAATAATCCTTTGTGTCAGCAATCCTTTGTGTCAGCAATCCTTTGTCGAAGGCCTTCTAAATATCTAATTTTATGGTTATTAGGGTGTATTTGCTGTCTAGTTTCTCACTAATTCTGTGAGTAATGGTAGTTAGTACATCAGCAGTGGATCGAGCCGATCGAATCCCGTACTGCTTGCCGCTCAAGAGGCTTTTCTTATCTATTCTTATCTTTTTTTTGATTATAGCCTCAAAAAATTGCTAATGATACTGATAAGACTGATAGGTCTATACTGAGAGGGGGTGAGCACTCCCCTGCGTTCTTGAAAACCGGGCATACGCCTGACTCTTTCAACAGTTTAGGAAGGATTTTTCCTTCAAGCAGCGGTTTAGATAGCTATGACTGGGGATAGGTCGATATCCTTAAGGACAACCACTGGGATCTTGTCTGGTCCAGTGGCTTTCTTAGGGTCAAAGCTTGAGACTTCTCGGGCTGTAATGAAAATATTGCTGAGATTGTGCTCAGTGAGACGTGGGAAGTTGGGAAGGGGATGACCTTTGAATTCGAGGCAAAGATCGAGGCGAAAGGCTTCGCCTTATTTATCGAGGAAGATATGGCATCGGGGCCATTTATAATAGTGGGTACAGCCGTTTTGCCTCAATTCATAATTTGGTTGGAGGTCTTCAAAAACTTACGGGATCCAATTTGTTTAGTTCAACCTTGGCCTGGACCGCTTGCGCATCGGTACCCAGAATTCGGTAGATCTTAAATTCTGGAATTGATTTTCAACGGATGTCTTCCCTTTGCCTTTTCTAAAAATATTTTCAATTGCTCTGATGAGCTTACCTCCTTAGTGCTTCGACAACAGGAATTTAAACGTGCTACTAGATTGGCAGTTAGGTCTGATCGTTTTATTGATGAAAGAGCTATATGAAACTGTATGTTCTATTCTGGTAGATTTTTTTCTCACACTTCTTACCTGTGGAACTCCTTTCGATTTCTTGTTTCCCCTTCCCTGCCATATAAAATCTTTAAAAATGTAAATGCAATGCCAATCACTATATTTTGTCTTCTTGAAATCCCTTCTTTCATTGTCCTTTCTCCTCACTAAAGCATTCTCATTTTCTTCCACTCACAGTAACTGTTAGCGTCCTAGTATAGTTATCGTCTTGCTTGGGATGAAAGGACTGAAAAGAAAATGTCTGACTGGAGTCGATGATGAGATGAGATGGAATGAGAGAGAGTTGTAGAAATGTTCCAAGTTTCATCCAATTCTCTTGGAAAAGACAAGAATCCATTACCAGCTAGGGCTTAAATAGCGGTTTGGACTATGGTTCTCAAGCACTGACTGCGTCCAGGGTATGACGATAAACTACATCCGCATCCTGTGTAAGACGATAAACTACGCCCAACAGCAAGGCCTCTGATCAGGATGTGTTGAGGAGCGTGGAACCACCTCTTAATTGCTGGTGTTCCCAGGTCCACCCTGACCCGGGGTAGTAGCATTTGTTAGGGTCCCAGCTATGGGCAAATAGTTACACCCCCCCAAAAAAAACTCTGGTCAAAACACTATGAAAGTGTAAAAATAGGTCTTAATACATTCTTTTAAAACAAAAATATTACCAGCAATATATTTTTGGAAAAAAATATATTACCAGCAACAAAAATTGTCGGCATTAAATAACACATTGAGGTTGATATACCGTAAAACAAAACAAAACAAACAAACAAACAAAGCAAGCAAGTACTGACTGGTAGCCAATATAGTACAAATGTAGTGTTGAATCACAGACCAGACACCAGGTTCGTATCCAGACTGCAGCCTCTTCCAGTCAAATGCTCGTGGCTTAAAAATAACCCTTTAGCCAGATCGTCATCAACGAAGTAAAAATATGAGACTTTTGAAGCAGCAAGCAAATTTTATCTTGCTTGTCACCCTACTGCTATAGACGATCGAAGCAGGAATGGAGCAATTGTGAGAAACAGTCAAACGGGCGTGTCTTCCCTTTCGGCTCGTTGCGAGGCTGTCACTCTGTGTCCCATTTTACATTTTGAAAAATCGATTCAATAGCCGAAATTTAAATCGTGCTCCGTCAAGATGGACACAGTAGTCAAAATGCCCGTTTCGGTTAAAAAAACTGTATCCCCGAAGTAAAAAAGGGATACATCTTCGACTCCCGTGATTTGGCGGAATGGACATTTGGCCGACAGACATTTGGCGTAACGGACATTTGGCCGACGGACATTTGGCGGAATGGACATTTGGCCGACAGACATTTGGCCGACAGACATTTGGCGGAACGGACATTTAGCCGACGGACATTTGGCGTAACGGACATTTGGCCGACGGACATTTGGCGGAATGGACATTTGGCCGACAGACATTTGGCCGACAGATATTTGGCGGAACGGACATTTAGCCGACGGACATTTGGCGTAACGGACATTTGGCCGACGGACATTTGGCGGAACGGACATTTGGCGGAACGGACATTTGGCGGAACGGACATTTGGCCGACAGGCATTTGACGTAACGGACATTTAGCCGACGGATATTTGGGGTAACGGACATTTGGCCGACGGACATTTGGCGGAACGGACATTTAGCCGACGGACATTTGGCGTAACGGACATTTGGCCGACAGACATTTGGCGGAACGGACATTTGGCCGACGGACATTTGGCGGAACGGACATTTGGCCGACAGACATTTGGCGGAACGGACATTTGGCGGAACGGACATTTGGCCGACAGACATTTGGCAGAACGGACATTTGGCCGACAGGCATTTGGCGGAATGGACATTTGGCCGACAGACATTTGGCGTAACGGACATTTGGCCGACGGACATTTGGCGGAATGGACATTTGGCTGACAGACATTTGGCCGACAGACATTTGGCGGAACGGACATTTAGCCGACAGACATTTGGCGTAACGGACATTTGGCCGACAGGCATTTGGCGGAATGGACATTTGGCCGACGGACATTTGGCGGAACGGACATTTGGCCGACAGACATTTGGCCGACAGACATTTGGCGGAACGGACATTTGGTCGACGGACATTTGGCAGAACGGACATTTGGCCGACGGACATTTGACGGAATGGACATTTGGCGTAACGGACATTTGGCCGACGGATATTTGGCGGAACGGACATTTGGCCGACGGACATTTGGCGGAACGGACATTTGGCCGACGGACATTTGGCGGAAT